CTCAATCATTTGGTCATTCTATAGGGTAGAGTTGTAATAAAGACAGGAATTGGTGTGAGAACTGACAACCATATATATATATTTTTTTTTAAAAAAAAAATGTATGTTATTCGTAAATATTATTTTCTTATGTTGTTAACATTTACACTGATGCAATTATATATAATATTGTTGTTTTTAAAAATAAAAATTAATTAAAGATAGCATTTCAGATGGTTAAATTTTTAAAATAGCATTCTCCATAGTCCTACACTAAAGCTTGGTTCTCATGCATTTGTCAATCTTGTGTACAATTGGTTCTCATTTAACCAACAACATATACTCTATAAATACTCAATTGGTCTTTGAAACTCAAATAGACTAAAAAAAGTTAAATTTATATAATCTTAATTTGATCCACATAACAATATGGTTGCAGAAAAGGGAAGGTGAAAGTGTGCAAGCTGATCAATTAAGAGATTCCCTGCTTGAGCTAGCAAAGAATTGTACATTGGCATCTGAATATGCCAAGTGATGAAATTCATTCTTATATGCTGTGATTAATCTTTCCTCTGCAGCTTTTGTTATTTCCTTTCTCAAATTGAAAAAGAAAAAAAAAAACTTGAAACAAATGTCTGCATTAAATAAAGGCCAAAAGGTCACAAACTTCAGCAAAATCCAACAATGGTGTGTGCACAACAAAACCATCCAGCTGAAAACAATCCATCCAACTTTTGACACAAAATCCATAAATCATTAAATCAGAGACAGAACCCCATTAAAAATTCAAACACACACACACACACAGACACAAATCAAAACTCGTCGTCATCTTCCTCGGCTATAACCTTAGCGAGTTCCTGCTCTTGCTGCAGCCTCTCCCTTCTCTTCTCCGCACTCTCCTTCTCCTTATGCGAATTTGGCGGGAACCTCAGGGCCCGAACAGCCTCATTATGCATGTTGAGACAAAAGGCAATCCTCGAGTTGAATGCGGCCTGAGGCTCGTTCGTGGAGTAAATGTCGCCTGTCTCCTTGGAAACCATCCAACCGTTGGCCCGATCAAGCGAGGCCTCGATAGCGCCATCTCGAATGGCCTTGGAGACAATGCTTTCGGCATCAGCTATGGGGTTTGGGGAGTCGAGCCTCAGCTTGAGTGCCACGTCAGACAAGGAGATTATCGAGTAGGAGATGCTGATGTTGCGGAGGCCCGTTCGAATGACGTTGTGGCGAAGCCGAACGATAAGGTTCTTGGTGCCGTCGGATCCGAATGTGGCGGCGAATTTGTCGGCCACCGATTTGAAGAGCTCCAGGTCACCGATACGGACAGCCTGGTGGGTCCCACAAATTAAAAGGAAAAATAAATAAATAATAGTCCAAGTCGATAAAAATAGGAAAAAGGGAGCCCGAAGA